AAGCAAAACTTAATTCTGGAAGTGTCCAAGTTGCTATACCTAATGAAGAGACGTCCGCTAGAAGATCTATATCGCCAAATAATGACGATACGTGCGAAATTTTCTCCTATTCTTCATCCCAATGTTCAAACTGAAATCTTGAAGGTACACCTGATTGTGCCCGGTAGAGAAAGAGTTCATATGTTAGAAAGAAAAGATTACCGGTAGTCTAGCATTTGTAATTAATCTATCTGACCGATAGGCTAAGTCACTACTTGATATCTGAAACTTGATGATTATGATAAGTGTGTCATGGTTATGTAACCATGTCCTGATAGTCCTCAATTATACAGGACTGGTTGGAAGCTCAACCTGTCCTGATGCTACTCACCAGCGTAGGGTGAAGGTGCTACTGGTCCGTGATTTGATGATCACGTCCAGCTTGAATGGATCTACCAGGAAACTTAGAGAAAAGCAAGAGGTAAGGAAAGAAAACTGCCGTTGCGAAACTGTCGGTTGAAGAACCGCTACAGTCGACCTCCATAGACCACGTTGGTTGGAGCATGTGTTACGCATGTCACCAGATAGGCTACCACGACGAGCGATGTTCGCCGAGGCAAGTAGGGAGTGGAAGAAAGTCAAGGGTGGTCAAGCTAAGACCTGGCATGAGGGTATGAAAACCCTAACCAGGAGTCTGGGTCACGTAGATCCCGTCAGGCTCCCTGGACGGGTACCTCGGGATGATCATACCCGATGGTTAGAGACTGAGTGATATGGCTGAGTGTCGTAAACAATGGCGTTCGTGCATCTTCTCATTTTCTCCGCAACATCAGTCCACAGAAATCCTTAATCCTACTTTCAACCTTTCCTGTCTTTCCCCTTATGTTCATCCAAATGGGCAGCGAAAAGACTGCAACCAAAACTGGCGCACGATAGTGCATGGTTAATGGTTATACAAACTGAAACGCAGCATCGCGCAAATCTAGTGAAGCAACCGGATGAGCCATGCTGAGGTCGGGTGCAGACTTTTAGGTAACTGCGGTCCATGTGTGTATACTTTGTCTTGCTGTCTTTCTCCTGCTGCTCCAGCCAAAAGACAGCAGTCAAAACTGGTGCACGAAACGACATGGTTAATGGTTGCACGAACCGAGCAGAACGAACCGGCCTTCAAGTCCACTTCAAACCCCAAAACTTAAGTTGACGGTTTCCATCACTGAACAGCAGGATTTCGCGACTATGCAGTCCACCCCGTCGGCTGTTCAGCATACAAACGTGTAATAAAAATAAAGAATGATGTGTTTCACGCCGGTACCATGAGTACGATAAATAAGTGCGATAGTACAGAACAATGACTGCCCGATGAGATATCAAACCTATTCAATTATGGGCAACATTAAAGCCAAATCTGGACTATACACGCAAACAACTTCTCACTTGTCATGATAATTACCCTAGTGTGCACGATGTCGCATACTGTACCTCCAAACTGGGCAAGTGTATGACGTAGAAGGCCGTTAGATAGTAGCCGACGGAGAAATGAATATCCTCTGTGCCAGAGAAAACGGGCTTAAGTACACTTGTCCGTGTTTTGTATAAACAATGAACGCCGGTCATGATAGCTCGTAAAGAAAAGAAAGAGGAACCCCGTAAAAAGGTTTGGGGAGTTCCACACTTTAATTACCTAACTACTGTTTCAGGGCACCTTTGGCCATCATTTGTCACACCAACCTTGACAGATGTGAGCCTTTCACTCAAGCACTCGGTAAACAACTGAAATTATTGGCCAGATTTGGTTGCTGTCTTAGACAGTTGAAAGTAGAGTCGGCGAGAAGATGGAGAAAAAGTTTGCAAAGAAAGTTAAATACACGAACACCGCTCTTCACGACACTCAGTTATATCACTGTCTCAAACCATTGATTAAAAAAATCCTCATCCAGGGAGCCCAAGGCGAACTACATGACGGAGTCCCCCGTTAGGGGTTTTCATACTCTCATAACAAGTCTTACCTTGGACACCCTTGGCTCTATTCTACCCACTACCTGCCCCAGGAAAGTGTGCGACGTGAGACGCGTAACACGTCCCAGCCAACGTAACCTATAGAGGTCGACCACTTGCTCCAGTGGGCGACCGCGGTTATCTAAAACCCAAAGAGGAAAAATAAAAATACAGTCGGCCTCTAAATAGACAGCAAGTACGATGTGAACATGAGATACACGCATCCTGCCACGAACCATCGAAACTGCAATGAGTATTAACTCTGACGTAAACACCACTACCAAGCATCCAGAAGTCGGACTATTAATTACTAGCCGTCTGTCTCAGGACCGCAGAACAGCGGAAAAATTCCCTTTCCAGTACTGGTAACCATTTTTCTTTGCAATTCGTAAAACCTCCAAAGCCCTTAGTCTGTGAACATGAAGTTACCCCTTTTTGTCGTGAATGACTGAATGGGTTAAAAACAACGAACACTTAAACAGATCGATAAAAATTATAGCAGTGATCGTCTATTTGACTAACAGGGCAGACAATTCAAACTACGTAACGGGAGCGTGGAACTTGGATGCGAATTACGCGGCTCTAACCAGTGAACTCGGAAAAAATGCAATACTCAAACAGGGAATGGGAAACGAAACGAAAAAGCATAGCTGGTAATTAGAGAAAAGGCTATATGGAACGAGGTAAGTCGTGAAGTGAAGCAACACAAGCATCACGTCCATAACATCTCGGCAAAACGCTTAGCGGGCACGGCACAACAGCCATCATCGGAAAAGATATCGGATATTTCGAGCAGCGTTTGAGGTGGATTTCAGGCGATCAAAATTGTCGAACTACTATATATATTTCAAACAATTCTGAATCTAGACTGTGCCAAGCAAATATTTATGAAAAAGAAAAACGTTCCAACAAAATTGTCAGATTATTGATTGATCTCATTCATGGGCTATCTGTGATCATGTAAACAATTTCGGAGCGAGATTAGCAATGATAGGAGTTCAACCGCTTTGCCCACGGTCTGACGCCGCCCACTAAGAATGCGGTAACAAAACTAAGTGATTCCACCTAGTCGAACTACAGCCTCAGGAATATGGCGACACCCAAAACGTGTGGACAGCAGTTCACGGAGAATCGGAGAACGGAAAAATTTCAAGTAGGTTCAAAACATTGGTCAGAAATTTTGTGCAATCGGAAGCGGTTGTAAACCAGAATAACATCTGCTTACCAAGACCCACAATCCCCAAAGTATCACGACGAATTC